ACAGGAATTCCTCAACCTGCTCTTTTCAAAGACCTTGGTTATATCATTATTTTATCTTGATGTGTAAGTTTTCAGATGAGCAAATGTGTTCATATTTGGCCTAAATGAATGGAGATGTATATGACACCCTCTCCCCCCACCCTGCCTTTCTTGGTGGCATTGGAATTTGAATTCAAGGCCTCACACTTGCTAGGCAGGCACTCTACCACTTAAGCCATGCCCCTAGCTGTATATGAGCCCTTTATCATGATTTTTCTTTTTTTGTATTTCGCAGCTTTTTCTAGGCTTACCCTGTAATAGAATTCAAGAACTATAGGTATGCTGTAGAAAGAATGTTTTGTTGACCAACATCAGGGAATTTTAGAGCAAGGGATTCATTATGGTTATACAATTGAACTTTTCCAGGTAATTTTTGGAGAAAATATTGTATCTGGATAATGTCTTGGCTTCATAGCACCTATATGAGTTTAAGCTACTAGAATTGGGTAACATATTTGTTTCTTCTGCTGTCGACTAGAAAGCTCCTATTGTTCTTGCTCTTACAGTTTAAGAAAATGAATTCTATAGATTTTATTTCAAGTTGCCCATCTTCTCATCTAGCATTCTAGTATTAGATGCTAATTCAGATCCAAATATATTCCCTCCTAGAGTGCCTGCTTGCTTTTCTACCTTGAAAATGATTTTGTACCTACATCAAAAAGGGAAAAATAGGCAATTCTAAGTAAGCAGTCTGATTATTTCTTTTCAGATTTTCTCTGTATGTGTAGCTTCTTGATTTATGGTTTACATTCATGCATTTTCTCATTAACTAATTCTAAAAGACAAGTATAACAAGTAGAGAAGGATATTTGCAAGTTAAAGTATTCCTTAAATGTCAATACTCAAGAATGTTTCATAACTAAAGTTTACTTTCAGACTCTTAACATTTGAGATATGCTTCATAAATTCTGCTGATGTAGTTTGTTTCTTTTGTGTGTGTAGTGCTGGGGATCAAATTCAGGCCATATTCTAGGCAAGGCCTGTATCTCTAAGCTACATCTTCAGACTTTGGTTTTTGGAGACAGGTTATCTCTCTATAGCCCAGTCTGTCCTCAAATTCCCAATCTTGCTGCCTCTGTCTCCCAGTGCCAGACAATATAGTTTATTTTAAAAACTATGTTTTTCAAGTATAATGTGCATATACATCATCTGGCAATCTTGTTAAAATGCAGATTCTGATTGACCAGGCCTGGGATGGGGAGAGATGTTTTAGTCTAACAAGCTCCCAGGGGATGCTGCTGCTGTGGTCAGCGGGTAGCAAGGGGCCAAAAAGCCACTGTTTAGTTTGTGCTTTTCTGGTGGTGGTGGTGGGGGGTGATGGGTACATTAGGGTTGTTTCTATGCTAATTAGTAGAATGCTTTTGAAAAGAAGCACTAATGATTTAGGGTCTGATAATTTCAAGCCTTTTCTAGAAATGCTTTATAAAAATAAAGAAGCTTGGTACTTAGTGTAGGCAGATTGAATTTTGGAAATGTTACAATTTTATATTTGAAATCTTGATGAGTCCAGTTTTCTAATGTAGCTGATGAATTATATTTTACAAACTAAAATTGAACTTAGTCAATAGTAGACTGCAGTAAGGGATGGATTTAATAGCATGGGTTTAGAATTTAAATGTAGAATTTTTAGGTGAATTATTAGTGTTAAATACTAGTGGTCAGTGGAGCACAATGCATAAGACTTTAAGAGAATTCAGTAAAATTCAGTGTACTATGTGGACAGAGACTGTTTTATAGTTTTATTAAATGTCGTACCAAATGGTAAGACTAGAAACCAACATATAGTAGACACTCAATAAATATTTTTAAATGAATTAATCCCAATTGATAAGCTATTTTAAATGTTAGGATGTGATTGGTCTTCCTGAAATTGGTTATTTCATCCAAAGAAACTTAATTTCCATTCAAAAAGTAATTTAAAGTAGGTTTTAAATTATATGTGTTTATGTACACTTATTACATACCAAAGCCTGGTGCATACTGAAATACATGGGAAGAGGAAAGATTTTACGTCATGTTGGAGTCATGAGAAATAGTTAATCAAAATGTGACTATACTTTAGTTAATTAACTTAGTCTTAGGTATTACTTTATTCACAAAAGACAGAGGACGTAGTAAGTTAATGAGAATCTAATGATTTACATTTAAAATTTCCATCACCATGACCCTTTTTACCTAAAATACTAACAGGCTAAAAAAAAAAATAAATAACTTTCTAGAATCTCAATCCTGCTGCAGCACTTTTAAGTTTCTCCAGCTGATACTGCACACAATAGAGTGAGAAATCCATTATGTTTACATTATTTTTCTATGTAATGAATGTGTAGTAATAATCATTATATGCATATGTAGGTAGATTATGGAAATCCTTCTATACCTACTCTCAATAAAACAATAATTTACATTAATAGACATTATAGCAGGCACCTCGTTTTTTGCTTAAAATAAATAAATGCTTAAAACTTCCTAATTTGCCATAATTATCATTTTTAAATACTCTTTTGGCCAGACTGTCTTACCTTTTAAGAAGTAAATGAAGCCTATTTCAATCCAAGTTGGGTTTAGACAAAATTGTATTTCATTTGTAATTAGTGGATATTCTTTACCTTTTTTAGAAGGGCCAGCAGCCTTTCTGTTTTGCTTTTTTCTTTACCACATTAAAAAGGAAAAACATAAAGAAGTTCCTTGGCAGAGAGACTCTAGAAGTATTAGGCTTCTCATGAATTGAGGTGTCTCACCGTACTGTTTTTCTGGCTGAAAAAAATTGGATCCAGGTTTAATGCAGACTTTCTTCTGCCTCTTATTCTTTTTGGTATTGCTTTCATTGAATCAATCACACAAAAGTGGGATTATTGTATTGTTGTTCTCATGAATGTTGTTTTATCTCAAAGAAAGTCTTGTGAAATGCGATAAACAGTTGAGAGCAAGCCCAGAGGAATATGGGTTTTTCCTATCCCCTCAAATCCTACCAAAGTTTTGTCTTTGTTGTCATCATTGTTTGAGACAGGGTCCTGCTATGTAGTCCAGGATGGCCTCAAAATTGCAATCCTCCTACCTCAGCTTCCCCAGTGCTGAGATTACAGGGGTGAAACACCATGCCTGGCTCTGGTCAAAATTACTTACAATTTTTTTTTTTATTTTAAATTTGGCTGGAAGGGTATTTCTTCCTAGATGGAGATAATTTCCTGTGCTGGAAATTTTGATTCTTATGGAATGAAAAGGGAAGAAGGGATGTGGCTACCATTCAGTCTCATTCATATATATGTATATCCCCATTAGAGATTATAGATTCAGGTACAGATCTTCCCTCAGGTGAAGAACATACCCGGGGAGTCTAGGTGGAGGTGGAGGAGAGCATGAAGTTAGGACAGGGAAGAGAAAGATTAGTTTTATCATCTTTGGCAACTTGTCTTGGTGTTATGGTCAGAGGTAGCCTATGTCTAGTATATCATGATTTCCTAAGGTGCTGAAAGATACTAAGTTCAAAGGCACTATAAGTTTGGTTTTCATAATTTTATTAATATGATTTAAATAGTGACTTGAATTGTGCAGTTTTGGGGTGAGATGGTAAAAGAATATCAGAACACATTATTTGTAGCTGATTTCTGGCTGGTATTACTTTTTTTTAAAATCTAAACAATTATTATGACTAGGTATACATTAACCCTTTCAGCAGAATCATTGTCCTGTTGAGGTAAATATTCATTTTATTTGCAGATGAGGAAACTGAAGCGTAGAAAGAGGATCAGTAACTTCCCCAAGGCTACACAGCTAGTAAGTGATAGATTTAAATTAAGTTTATTTGACTTCGAAGTTATTATAAACTTTAATAGTCTCAAATCAAACAGTAAGCCTACAGTTTTTTCACAATAGACTCTTCTTCCCAATAATCTAGCTCCTTGTTTCAACTCTTATAGAAAAGGTGGGTTATAGTTCTGACTTTGCCTGCCAGTTGAGTGTCCTTGATGGTGCCACCTAAATTCTTTGGACCTTTGTCTTGTCCATTGAATGAGTGGGCTGGACCACATGACCATCTAGGCCTTTTTGTCAACTCCTGGAAACTTTACACTTTGTGCATTCAGGTTTTCAGTCTAGCTCACGTAGTCACTGTCCTAAACACAATGCTGTCTATTTGAAGCAGATTATTTGTATAATTTTATTACTAGGAATATATTAGCTACTCCTAATGTGAGCTGCCTAGACAGGTTACAGTTGTGACCATATACTGCGTTCTTGCATAGCAGGTGCTCTGTACACACGATCGCACCTGCTCCCCACAACAGCTTTACGAGGTGGATTTTAAAGTTCCCATTTTATAGAGGAGGCAACCAAGGCTCAGGTTTTGAGTCATCCAAGGTCAGATAGAGTGGAGACGCCAGAATTTCAGCCCTGCGTGTTTGAGAGCGAAACACTTCCGTCTAATGAGAAATTAATGAAGATGTATATATTTCCTAGTTCTGCCTTAGGCCTAAGGGTCATGGACATTGTTTAACTACGTTTTTTTTTGTTTGTTTTGTTTTTTAATTTTAACAAATTACCGTCGGTTCCTGTCTTTGATTTTGCTGTTTACTTTCTGTCTGCTTAACCAACTGATAAGGGGAAGCGGAGTTGGAGGTGGTTACCGTTTTCACGTTAAAGGCCTTTTTAGAATTTAAATTTACAGCCAACCGTACCACACTGCTTCGGGCTTTGTGCCTCAGAGGAGCTCTGCTAATGTTCTTCCGCGTCGGTGGGCCTTTCCGAGAATGTGTTATTGCGCGGAACTACGTTTCCCAGAGGGTAGCGGGGCCGAGAGCGCGGGCTCAATCAGTTCTTCCTTCCTTCTCCTAGTTCCCGCGGTCGCAGGGTGATGATGCAAGCACGTCGGGCTCTGACGAGTGACGTTATTCTGGCTCGCGACCGCGGCGGCGGCCTTAGCAGCGGCAATAGGCGCAGTAGCGGCGGCGACTGCAGGGACGACGACGACGACGACGACGGCGGGGCGGGCGCTGTGCGCAGAGGGGAGGGGTAGGCGGGCGGCGCCGGCGGCTTCAACTGCGGCAGCGAAGGCTAGGGCGACGGAAGAAGAATCTCCACCAGCCGGCGGTCGAGTTAGGCCTCAGCAGCGCCCGGAGCGGCTCGAGCCGTCCTCCGCGAGGGATCTCCATAGAGACCGCGACAAACACTGGCGCGAGGGTCCCGCAAAAGGCTGCCGGACCAGAGCCAGATCGTCGGCCTCACCCGCCGCCACCCCCTTCTTCGCTGCCAGCGTGCGCGCACTCTCTGTCCCTGCTCGCAACCTCGCGGTTCTTGGTGTGTCTTTGCCTTAGTGTGTGGGTAGCGCAAGCGGACTTTTTGGCCGGGGCCGGGCGGGGGCGGCCCTAAGGCCGCCGCCTCTGCCTCTCCCGCCCGCCCGGGAGCGGGAAGCCGCCCAGGCTCCGCCATGGCCTCGGGAGCCGGAGGAATAGGAGGGGGCGGCGGCGGCGGCGGCAAGATCCGGACGCGTCGTTGCCACCAGGGGCCAATTAAGCCTTACCAGCAGGGGCGACCACAGCACCAGGTATGGGACTTGGACGCCGCAATGGCCGAGGGGATCGGGAAGTCGGCGGGAGGGGAGGGCGGTGCGACGTCTCGGCGCCCCACGTGGAGCGGATGCAGGGCCGAAGGAAAGGCCCGGGAGGCGGCAGGAGCCAGGCCGGAGCGGCAACGGGAAGTGGGCTGAGACAGGCCCGACCCTGCGGCGCACACGTGTGGCTTGGCCCGCGCGTCCCAGCCCGCTGGGCCAGGGGCTTTCCCCGGCGGGCTCAGGGCGGGAAACGACATTCTAGACTGAAGCGACTTGGGGTTTCTTTTTTGGCGGGTCTTGGGGGTTTGACCGTGTTACTCACGTCCTCTCGAGGGAGAAAGGAAACGGTATGGTCGGAGGCCCCCACGCTTGTAGGATTTTTGGAGTCCCCTGGCTCAGTGTGTGTGTGTGTGTGTGTGTGTGTGTGGAGGGGGCTGCCCAGAGTAATCCGCCTCCCGCCCCGCGGGAATGGGGGGCGCTGTTACACAGTTAGTGGAATAACTTAGTCGTAGCCCATTAGATAATTCTCGGCCTCCCCCACCGGAGCTCTGCTTTCTCGGATCTGAAAACATTAACTCAGATTTCCCCACCCCCAACTGGGTTGTAGTTACAACTGGGGCATTTTGAAAGTCCCTCTCCACCCTTACGTCTTTTCTCTGCTGCGTGACTCTTCCTTCCCCTCCTCTCTCCTCCCCCTCTTTATTTTGCAGGCCGGAGTCGGCCATTCTGCACAGTTAACCGGGTTTCCAGTTCTGAGCTCATACACAAAATATTCTCCAGGACTGTTAGTGGTCTTACAGTTTAACCACATATGCATTCGTGGATGTTTAATTATAAAGGGAGTTTATCCTAATTGTAAATGAGACGTTTGATTCTGAGAAAACTCCAGTTTTAAAAAGTGTGTTAGGATTAAGCAGATGTTAAAAACCTATTTTAATAAAGTCACTTGCAAAACTTCATCTTAAACTTGATGAAAACCAAGTATAGAAAAAGGGTCTGATAACTGTTGCATACTGTTCAAGGTAGACTTCTTATTTTATTCTGAATAATAAAGATTGAATACTTATGTTTTGTTTGTTATTACCAACTGATTTTTCTTTTAAAGTAATGATTTGAGGGAAATTTTGAATAGTAAAAGTTGTGGTTTATGTAGTTCGTCATTGGTCCGAAGGTTTGGCATTATTCTCCAGATATGTACAGAATGCACGGGTTTTCAGTTTTTTTCATGAGGAGCAGGGATATTTGAAGATAGATATAAAATTAAAATTCACATCACAAGCCTGGCCATTTAACCTTAATCTTGTAGAATAGAATTCAGACATACATGCTGTTTCCCCTAAGAATAAATGCCTGAATGCTTTCTTATATCTTGCGCTACATACGGAAAAAGGAAAAAATTTGAACACATCAGTGATAGTCTGGACAGAGTTCAGAAAGGAGCTAATATATTTTATATGTGAAAAGTTACAATCACAGCTTATTAAAGCATACTCAGATAAAATCTAATTTGGGGGAGATGCTTTAACAGTGTAACACTTAAAATCTAAGTTGTTTTAGAGCTGATATGATTTCAGGCTGTGTAGTTAAGTTTTAGGTCCTAATAATTAGATAATGGTAAGTGATCTGAAGTACTGTGGCTTCTTACCTCAGCCATTTTATTAAAAAATATATTTTAGTCGGGCGCCAGTGGCTCAAGCCTGTAATCCTAGCTACTCAGGAGGCAGAGATCAGGGGATTGCAGTTCGAAGCCAGCCCAGGCAAATAGTTCATGAAATCCTATCTCGAAAATACCCATCACAAAAATGGACGGTGGAGTGGCTTAAGGTAAAGGCCCTGAGTTTAAGCCTCAGTACTGCACCCCCCCAAAAAAATTAGCTTTTAAATTGGATTTAAAGGTGTTCAGGGATTTCTTGATCAACACTGTGGATGTTACTTAATATTGGCAGAAACTACCAAAGTATTGAGGGCTTATAAACCAATACTAGTACTTAACATAGTTACAGACTTCCTCCTCCCCCAAAATGCCCTAAAATCAGGACAGTTTTAGTCCTTACTGGAACTTTGGTAGACCTGATTTCTATCTACTATCCTAGGTTGTCAGCTGGGTGTTTTACAGCAGCTGCTGAGTCATCATGAATAGTAAGGAGCTTCATGACATAGCATGTTTCATACTAATGTTATTTGATAAGTGTCCAAGGGTTTCTGGGCAAAAATGAAGCCTTTGGTTTTGTAGTAAAAGGTTGGAAGAAGAATGAGAGATCTGCACTGTTAGTGGATGTTTGCTAATGCCTGTCAAGCCAATTAGGTAGCGCAGTTAACTTGTACCTGTGACTTCTGCATTGTGTTCGGTTGACTTGTAATTTCCTGTTTTGACTTCTGGTTTAGCTCTGCTGGGAAATGTCTAAAGTTTAGAGTTTTCTTCTTTTAACTTTTGATCTTTAATGGCATCTTGCCATTAAAGTTGTGGAGTTGTGGAGAACAGAAATCCTTTGTCTTGCTCAATTAGCTAAAGGGAGTTAATTTCTTTAAAAAATTAGAGACAAAAATGAAGATTAGCCCTAAACCATGCAAATTGATCATTTTTGTTTGCCTTCTTCCCTACCTCTTTTAGCCTTAACAGACATTTCTAAGGAATGGTATCATTTTTCTAGTTGAGAGTGAACAAATTACTAAAGAGAAGTGGTTAGTTCTTGTTGCTTGTCCAGTCTCTTGTTCCGTTTATATTTTGTGCATCTCTGTGGAGATGTTCATAGCCACACAAAAACTTGAGCCTGGCAGACCAGAACTTTGCCTGTGGAAGAACCCACCTCCACCTTCCAGTGAGAGGGAACCATTTTGACCCTTTTTTTTTTTTTTTCTGGGATAGGGAGTGAGGTTTATATTCCGGTTTGTAGCTAAGGAAATACACTTTAGTTCTCTGAGAAATAGGATGAATAATAGGGTTTTCCCAATCTTACAAGTATGAGGCCTGCCCCAGCAAAAGTGTCATACCCACTGGAAGTGTGGCCCAAGTGGTAGAATGCTTGTCTAGCAAGTTCAAGGCCCCCTCCCGGCCACACACAGTAAAAAAACAAAAACAGCCCCATGAGATCCTGTCACAAACAATAAAGCAAAAAGGGCTGGGGGTGTGGCTAAGGTAGAGTGCTAGAGGTCCTGAGTTCAATTAAAAAAAAAAAAATAGGGCCAGGCATATATAGTTAGAACTCATTCAAAGTTGTTGTGATTAAATAGAACCATTTGATTACAATGTTTTTAATTTTTTGGAGGAGGGTTTGCTATCTTTTAGTAGAGGTTCCCCACAGACCAAGTTTAGTCCTCTATACACTTATATTGGACTTAAGATCTTTGTTTACTAAGGGATGAGGCTAAATCTTAAGTACTTAGTATTTTCCTCATAGACATGCCATTTAAGTATCTAGAGGGCAAAGAGTCCAGATATTAAATTGCTCAATACAAAGTAGGATTTTTTGTTTGTTATGAGAGGCCCTTGTGTGGTATTCTGTCACTTCAGTCAGCAATTTTTTAATAAGATAAGTGACAAAAAAGAAAGTCATGATGTTTCTTTTTCCTGGAAAGTCCTTTGATAAGGCAGGTGTCTTATTTTTAAGTAAAAAGATTTTGGTTGGATGTCACTAATTAAAACCATTTTCATTAGATACAGAATATTACCGAAAATTGAAATGATTCTGCATTTTCATTTTATTTATTTATTTTTTGAGACAGGGTCTTACTATGTAGCTCAGGCTGCCTAGGATTTGACAGGGCCTTATGCTTGCTAGACAGGTACTTTACAACTTGAGCCACTCCACCAGTCCTTTTTTCTGCTGGTTATTTTCCAGACAGGGTCTGGTGAATTTTTTTTGCCCCTGTTGGCTTCAAATTGAGATCTCTTGATCTCTGCCTCTGCAGTAGCTAAGATTTCTGCCACTGGCACCAGGCCTGACTTTGAACTCTTGATCATCTTCTTTTACTTCCCAAGTGCTAGAAATACAGTTGTGAGCTATGGTGCCTAGCTTTCAAGATTTCTTTTATTTATAGCTACTTGTAGCTTTTTTTTGCTTTTTTTTTTTTTTTTGAGATAGGGTCTTGCCAAGAAACTCAGTCTCTGCTTGAACTCCCTGTGTAGCCCAGGCGTGCACCACCACACCCAGCATTTGAATATATGTTTTAAGTGCTATTTTCTGTATGCCTGTAATTCCAGCACCTGGGAGGCTGGAGGCAGGAGGGTTGCAAGTTCAAAGTCAGCCTGGACTATATATACACCTTGCCTCAAAAAAAGAGAGATGGTTTTATAAAATACTTTTAAGTCTCAGGTATCTTGGGTTCTTTTTCACTTGGGGTTGGAGAGGACAAAGGAGAAAACTGATTTGAGAAACTATATGAAGTTAGACTCAAAAAAGTTTAAAAAGGAGAGCTTGGTGACTGGACAGTTAAATGAGTAAGGAGAGTATATAAAGAACCCTGGAAGAAGACTCTTAAGAGTCAGTGGCACCAGGCCTGAGTGCAATACAGGCATCTGAAAGAACAGGTAGAAATCAAAACAGCTAAATATTCTGGGAGAATAAAGCCCTAGAAATGTAAAACTGATGATAGACTATTAGGTATCTATGGTTAGAGATCCAGTGAAATTATTTGAGAAAGGAGATTTTAGAATCTAATACTATTTAAAAGATAATGTGAAGAAAAGAGAGTTGAATAGAACTAAGAAAAAAAAAAAACCGAGAGGAGGGCCTTGTATATGAAGAAGGAAGGATATAGATAAGGAGTTGGCTAGAATTATGAAGATGTCTCTGGTGAAAAGATTTATAGGAAAGGAATGTCTTCATAATTACAAATGAATTCTGAGTTAGTGTTGTAGAGTAGCTCCTTTTATTCTCTCTTTCATTAATTCTTGAACTCAGGTTAAATATAATTTGAAAAACAAATAAGTTGACATGCCTTGCATACTGAATTTTCTTTTGGGCCGGGGACTGGAGTTTGAACTCGGAGCTTTGCACTTACAAAGCAGACACTCTACTGCTTTAACTACACTGTCAGCTTATTTTGCTCTGGTTATTTTGGAGATGGGGGTCTCACAAACTACTTGCCCAGGCTGTCTTTGAACCGCTGTTTTAATGCCTTTTGTTTTCCTAAGAACTACATTAATTTTGCATTTTATTGTGTGTGGGTGTGTGTATGGGGGAGGTGTCTCTCTGCTTTTCTTTATTTAGTTGCTTTCCAAAGAATAGTTCTGTTTCCATCAAGTTGTAATGGTAGCCATAATGCTTACTGCTGAAGCCTCAGACAAAGTAGGAAAGAAGTTAATTTGTTAAGGTAAGGCTCGGGTAGTCACTCCTTTGTCATCCTTTTCTCAGAGTACTTTTGTCTGTTCTTTTTTTTTTTTTTTTCCTTTTATTTTTGGTCCTATTGGAGTTTGAACTAAGGGCCTCACTCTTGCTAGGCAGATGGTCTACCACTTGAACCACTCTGCCAGCTTTCTTTTTTGTTTGTTTATGTATTGTTTTTTTTCTGATTTGCCTAATTCAAGAACTCTTCTTTCAAAAACTGAAAAGATACATGGGTTGTTTTTCCTTTTCTAGCTTCTTTCACTCTCAGTTTTCCATTAGTGTTGAAGTCTGTCTTTGGTACTTCACCTCTTAAACAATTGCCAGACAGATAAGGAGATAGTTCTCCAAATATATCTGATTGCCAAGGGTTTCTTACCACCTCTTGATAGTCTCTTACCTTATGTTGTACACAATTAAAAGATGTTTTTCTCCCAAGCAGTTTTTAAATAATTTTAATGTCTGGCAGTTGGTTATTTACTATAAATACATGCATAATCTGTCTTATGTCTTTAACAATAAAAATAGATTCAAAGGTAGACGTTCATGTTTACTTCTGATTGATTTTGAGAGTTGATATTATAAAGTAAATGTTTATTGAAATGTTTATTATACCTATGAAAATAGGTATGATGTATTTGATAGAAAATGGGATGATCATGAAAGTAGTGTGATCTTTTAGGTAAAATTTTACCTTATTCTAGTTAAATTTATACTTAGGGTTATGCTTATCAAGTCCTTATTTGGGTTAACAGGTCACTGAATTTTAGATGATTTTAGTAGAGTGGGTCTCAAACTTTAATTTGTGTAAGAATCACCTCAAGAACTTGTTAAAAAGAAATTTGCCTTTCTAACAAATCTCATGGGTGACACCAATCCTGGTCTGAGGACTTTTTGAGAACCACTGTTTTAGTCCTTTATAGTGACTAGATGTATAAACCTGCAGAGCAAGAGTAGGCAGATTCATACACATGTGTGAAAGCATGATTGAAGGATTTGAAGTTATTTTAAGATATATTAGATTTTATGATTATTAATAAGGTTACCAGAAGTTTGGGTAGCCTGTGCCTATATTTGGATCTTTGCACCTTTGGTTCCCTCAGTTTGTAATACTTCGCTACTAAAATGTTGCATGACCCATTCCTCGCTTTTTTAGGTATGTGCTTTTATAACAGGATACCCTTCTTACTTTGCTTCCTTGCTTTATTTTTGTTTATGGTACCTTAATCACCATTCTATGTGTTGCATATTTTGTTTCCTGATATTTTCTCCTTAATTTATAAGCTCCAAGACAGCAAGAACTTGTTCACTGCTGTATCCTCATTTTTTAATGACTGACTGACAGAATGTGATCAGTACTTGTTTGATTGAATTAAGTGAAAAAGCAATATTTGAGTTGCATTGTATTCATTCAGCACAAAGTGGTCATTCTTATCTTAGAATATTCTCATCAATTGCCTAACTAGTGTTCCAAATCTGTATGCTTTTGTGACAACTTAATGTGTTTGTTGTTGTGTTGCTGTTTTTTGTTTTGAGGCAGTCTTGATGTAAGTATCCCAAGCTGGCCTCAAAATTCTGCGATCCTCCTGCCTTAGCCTCCTGGTTGCTGGGATTATTGGCATGCGCCAACATGCCTGGCTGACAACAAAAGTTTAAAGTCTTTTAAGTGTGCATGATTTTATTCACATATTTTAGAGGGGCTTTTTCCTAAACAGTATCTCAATTTTCTGAAGTGTATCAGATTTCCTAATCTCTTTAACTATAATGGTGGTTCTCAACTTTAGCATGTATCAGAGTAACTTGGAAGGCCTTCATAACAAAAAGAGACAGCCCTACCAAAAGAACTTATTCTTTTTAGAATGGCATAGGACCTGAGGTAATGTTAAAGGGAACACACGTTAAGAACTACTTCTCTTAGAGTATGTTAAGCTTAATTTAACTTTTTCTTTATGATTAGGGTCAGGTCATTTTAAGTTACAGAGGTATGAATGGTCAGTGAAACTCAAGGGCATTTGTTCTAAAGGTTTCAGGTCAGTTTTATGGTCACTCTTCTTTTTGTTCTTTGAGCTGTCATTGGTTGTACACTAGCATCTCTGTGCCATTGTAATTTCCCTGTACTAAACTGCTCTGGGCTTATACTGAACAAGCTGATGAGATTTTAGTTTAGAGAAGAGAAAATCTATGATTGTATCCATTTTAACAGCTCAGTTTTGTTTTTTGATCTTCAAGTTATCTAATGCTGCCATGTAAGTGGCTTGTGGTTAAGTATGGTATCAGTTATAAATTCTGTACTTGCTTTATAGTTTAATAGATTTATCGTGTGTGTGTATTTTTTGGGGGGGGTGGTAACTGGGGTGTGAACTCAGGGCCTCACTCTTGCTAGGCAGGCATTCTACCACTTGAGCCACTCCCATCAACCCTTTTTTATGTTGGGTATTTTCAAGATAGGGTAGCTCCAACTGTTTGCCCATCCTGGCTTCGAACTGCAATCCTCCTGATCTCTGCCTCCCAAGTAGCTAGGATTATAGGTGTTAGCTACTGGTACCTGGCTAATTTATTGTATTTTTGGATTAGTACATGTTAATGATACGAGGGGGTTTCATAGTAGTGATTCCATACATATGTACATGTACTTGATTTCAATGGGTAGAAATCACAGGGACCACTGATATTTTTAGTAGCTAAGTTACAGGAAGTCCACAAAAGACTTACTACTCTAAGTTCTTGTTGACCTTATGTCACATATGTGTTTTACCTTTTTCATTTTAACTGTATTTTATCTTAAAAACTTTCAAGTCTTTTGATACATTGGGAGGGAACAAATAACTAGTGCTGTATCGAATTTTTATAAATATTAAGTCTGATTATAGTAGGTATAGAAAAAGGAAAGCAGTGAGTATGTGTTTTTCAGTAGTGAATATTTTAGAATTGTTAACTTTATGTGTTTGATAGAGAGTTTACTTTGAAATTTGTTGAAAATTTTTCCTTGGAGAACACATGGAAAAATAGTTACAGATTTCCCAGTTGTCACCTTTTCATACTATTCAAGTGCCTGTGTCAGGGATATCTTCCATATTGTCTGTTGACAGGATTTTTAAGACTTCTTTGTCTCGGGTTTTTTCTAAAAAAGAACTATATATTCTGTCTTGACATTTAAAAAATCTGCTAAGCCGTTTTTTACCCACTTCTATGACTGTCTGAAACATTTAATGTTGCTTTATGAAAACAATTACTGCCTGGAATTGGTTATCCTACTCCAGTTTGTTTTTGCTAGCTTTTTTTGTTCGTATTAAAATTATCAGCATGTTTCTGTAATACCTTGTAAATTGAGAAATATTTTCGCATAGCTTCATTTGCTTTTCATTGTAATTCCTGTAGGTAGTAGTAAAGAGTAGCTCTTCCTATTTAACTGGAGTAAATGAAAGAGCTGGGAGGTATTCAAATTTCACCCTAGGCTCTAGCAATCCCAAGGCCTATGCTTTTATTTTACTCTGCCCTAGACCCTAGTTATAATGTAGTACTTGTGTTTGTACTTTGGGCACGTTACTTAACTTTATTGTCTTTGTTCATCTATAAGGTATGAATATTAATTTCAACTTCATGAAGTTATTGTGAGGGTTAAATTGAATGATGCACAATGAAGTGCTTAGAACAGTGAGTGACTCATACCAAAGCTACAGTAAATGTTAGTACTGATGGCTGTATCACATGTTTTTTCTTTTAAAAGTTACCATGGTAAAGTCAGTTCCTCAGATTTTCAGGCAATATTTGGCATAGTAAAATTTCACCATCAAAAAAGGTTGGTTATTTCTTGAGTTTATGTTGCATTAGTTGTCTTCCTACTTTTTTAATCATATTTCTGTTAGTCTAAATTCTTGTTTTTCTTAAAGAATGTGCAAGAAAATAATTGTCAAAGGTGTGATTTATATTGTTAATATATGGAGATTAAAAAAGAATGCCTTTTTAAATCCTAGATTAAAACATTTATGCATATTGTAATAAGTCCAGGTCTTATTTGATGGCTTATTGAGGCTTTTAAAGGATTAGAATGCTGTTGCTATTTGAGACAAATATTGACTTATCTGGAGCAAAGAAAAATTAGGAATTTCACAGTACTTACAGAATTTGTAGTTATGTCATAACTTTTAACTGAATTTTAGTAAATTTTGTTGGAAAGACGTGTTTTGCTTGGTATGAGTTTCTGTAAATACATTTAGATAAATTTCTATAATTATGTCTTTTTTTTTCTCCAACAGGGCATTCTTAGCAGGGTTACAGAATCTGTTAAGAATATTGTGCCAGGGTGGCTACAAAGATACTTCAACAAGAATGAAAATGCATGTAGCTGTTCAGCAGATGCAAGTGAGGTACCACACTGGTCAGAAAATAGAGAAGAGGAACATATATATGCTGATGAGGACAGCTCTAATGTTAATGATGGCAGAATCACCCCTGAGCCAGCTGTCAGTAATACAGAAGGTAAAATAGTATGTGGATGTTTTGATACCAGTGACACTGACCTAATTTTAAGTATCTTTATATTATCTGGCTATGGCAAAATCTAATCAAGTGGTACCTAAATTATACATGAGGAGGGTGATGACCAGTTTCAAATTTGATGTCTTTTATTTACTAGCCTTTTATTCATTAAAGGAGGCTGATAAGTCAGCTAAGAGTACAAGCTCTGATGTCAAACTTTGGGTTTATATTTTTATTACTGCCAATATTATCATGTGGCTTTTATTGAGAGAGTTAATATATTTTCTACTGTGTACTTCCATAAGTTGTCTCATAAAGAATAATTATGAGCAGTGTGTGGTGGCATGTGCCTATAGTCCCTACACCTTCTGGGGAGAGAGATGGGAGGATCACTTGACCCCATATGTTTGTCTCAAAACATAATTTTAAAAAAGTGTGAAGCCCTTAGACTAGGTCCTGACACCAAGGGAGCACTGCTAACTGAATGCAAACTGTGATAGTGCCTCTTGCAACATAAATTTGGGTATAATACAACTGCACTTGGCTCCTGTCCTCTCCAGAGCAAACTCAGCTGGGTCATCCCTTTAATCTTGCAGTTAAATGACCCTGCATTTTAAAGGTTTGAACTTTTTTGGATTTACTTTGCAGCAATTTGGCAGAATTTGCAAGTATTAAATACAGATAGTACAACACATGGACATGCCATACTTGGGGATAATACTTTGTCATTTGACCATATATTTTTTATTAGCTTCATTGTGATAGATTTCAAATTACATACAACTTAAAAAGTGTATACTTTAGGAGCCAGGCATGGTGGTAAACACCTGTAACCTCAGCATTTGGGAGGCTGAAGTAGAATAGCAAGTTCCAGGCTAGCTTGGACTATATAATGAGGCCCTCCAACAAAACAAAACAAAGTGAACAGTTTAGTGGTTTTTGTATAGTCGCGGGATTCTACAGCCATTAATATGTGGGGGTTTTTTTGTGGGGTGGTTGCTGTGGATTGAATCTAGGCACAGTGTCTTATCACTGAGCTGTATCTCCAGTCCTCCTTGTGTACTTTTTTTTTAAACTACAAGTTTTGACAAATAGTTATATTTTTTCTAGCTCTATGCTAAATTTTGTCTTGAATAAATAATTGACATGGATATATGCCTTGTTAATTTTGGCGCACTTAGTAGAATGTTTTCCTGCTTGATTTGCTCATAGTGAAAAGTAGTGATAGTGAAATGGGCTTGAAAGAATAATTACTTTGGCCAGATGTTCACATCTGAAACCCAGTATCTGAAAACCCAGATGAAAGGAGAAAGATTGAGAGTTTGAGGCCAACCTGGTTTACAAAGCAAGACTCTGTCTCAAAAAAAAAAAAAAAGTGGTTACTTTGGAGAAAGCAGATCTTAAGTTTTCTTAGTACTACTCAGTTTGGTGTAGCATTTCAGTGTTTGCTGATGGTTTCATTCCAGTAGCTTAAGAAGTTTGTAATCTGGACTTTTCAAGATTTCTTTTAAATATATTGCCAGCAACCCTGTTGAGGCCTTATCTGGCAGATTTCTAAGATGACTGCTTCAGTATCATTTTCTTTCCTCACCATTAAATGGGACACCAGCTTTACCTTTCTTTAGGTTAGAGTTTTCTAGTGTGCACTAGCATATTCAATGACAAAGACTGTTGTTTCCTAATGAATCCATGCTAGTAAGAATTAACTAACTGGAGGAATTGAGTTGTAATACATATACATGTGCAGTTTCTAATTCTACATCTCTAAACTTTGTGTGTGTGTATTTTCATGAAAAAAATATAATTTCATTGATTTGCTAAGGTGAGTTTGAACTCAGATTTTTTAATTAATTTTATAAGATAGATTTTCTGCTACAAACATAATTATATACATTTTAGTAACTTTTAAACTTAATTTTTTTTTTTTATGGAAAATTTAGAACTGCAGTAATAGAGGATAATACAGTAAGTCTCCATGTACCCATTACCCCGCTTTAATAATGATCAACTAAGGCCTGTTTTTGTTTTCTATATTTCTCTACCTTTTTGCCCACTTTTTCACCTCGCCTCCTTTAACTGATTTTTTTTTTTCAATTCTGTGGGTTCAACCTAGGGCAACCCATATGCTAGGCAAGTATTCTATTTCTGAACTACACTACCAGCTGTTTAGAAGCAAATTGTGGGCAGATTTTTCTTTTTCTCCTCATTCTTTTCTAGGATCTGAATCATGCTCCTTTCTTAAACCTTGTGAGTTGCAGACAGCTCTCTCTCTTTCTCTTTTTTTTTGTCTTTTTCTTTCTGTTTTTGGGGCACTATTGGGGTTTGAACTCAGAGCCTCATGCTTGCTAAGCAAACATTCTACTACTTGAGCCATGCGTCCCCCATGTCCTTATTGTCTGCCTTAACCTTTCTTAGTGTTAATGCCTGCAATCACGTAGTGAGTGAATTAAAGTACCGCTGATAACTCTCCAATAAGATGAATATATACATTACTAGATATAAAAAAATCAGTTTGCATTTATTTTTTGAAATACTATATACTTAATCGTGCAGTGCATTCTCAAAAAAACTAGATATATTTAACATTAAAGTAGTGTCAAATTGCAGAAGACTATAAACAACTTCAATATAACAGTCCTGAATGCTGTTTAACTAAATATTAACTTTTACAAATAAAAATTGTATAATAACAGTAGGGCAAGAGAGTATTGCATATTCTTAAAGTAGCACAGTATAGTAGCAACAGAACTTGTGGCTCATTTCAGGTCTGTTGCCTGCAGCCTTGTGGCTAAGCACTTCTTGTGTTGACTGTTTTTAAATGATGGTGAGGCATTGTATGTCTGGATTTCTTCTGCTAGATTAGTGGGATAGACCAATGAGGAAAACTTCAAAACCTGTTAAATTTTCATTGGTACAGTAACATTTCAGGCTTCTGAGGGCTCCACAGTGGCATATCTAATGTGAGTCAGCAGTGAATTGAAGTCGTGGGCTACTTTGCCTAACTGATACCATGGTGATTATACTTGTACTCTTAGAAGCAGGGCTGAATCTGTAGTTATGACCTTGTGTAGTCCCACTGTTCCATATGTGCCCTTTATCTGGCCTGGTGTGGAGGATAAGGAAGTTCTATAAGCAGCAAAAACTGTCAATGCTGTTAGTAACATACTTTCAAGCAGAAGTATATTCTATTGGATTTCTTTTTCCTCTATAATTTCTGTATAAGATTTAACAGATACCTGCCACATTAGACATTGTCCTATCATTTTTATCCTGTGTGATAAATTAATGTCGGCATGAGAGAAATAAGTAAAAAGTACTTTTGTGATACAATGTTTTATAATGTTAGAGTACTTCATACCCTAAGGAACATTTCAGCCATTTTCTTGGCTATGGCTGCTTTAATTTCAGCATAATGTTTAGTCTTGACTCTGCCTGGAATTGGTTACGATGTACAGGATGAAGAAAGTATTTAGCTTCATTGTTTTTCAAATGGCTAGCCTGTTTATTTCCTAAATATATACCTACACACATACATATATATGTGTGTGTGTTTGGTGGTATTGGAGTTTGGCCTCCAGGCTTAGTGTGTATTAGGCAGGTGCTGTCCTGCTTGAGCCATGTCCCCCCCCCAGCCTTAAATTGATTTCTTAAGTAAGTCATTCTTTCCTGAATGGGATGTCAAAAAACTTTTACACATAATAAATTCCAAGAGGCTTCATCCCTCCTTTCTCTAGTGATACATCTGTATGATCTTATACCAGTACCATAATGTTTTAGATACTTCACTGTAGAACAGAATGCCTCAAAGTTATTTCACCTCATCTACCTTCACCTTACTCATTTCTCTATTCGTCTTCTGATATATCTTAAAAGAACTTTAGAATCATTTATCAAGTTCCTCTTTGTTGAAGTACAGCTTGATGTAAAATTCTTTAAATCACAATTTAAAATCTGTCATAAGCAAAAATGAACCTGCAGTCTGATCAGTATGATAGCAATTCTATGTGTAATTGTTTGTCTCATTGTCAGTATCCTTAGCATCCAGGATATCCCCTGGACTACTTAGGCTAATTTATTGGCTCAATTTCAGACTTACTGAATTATCATTTGTGTGTTACTCAGGAATATTTAATAGTCTCTCCTCATGGTTATCATGTGTACTTAAAGAAGAGAATGGATTTTTGCAGATAAATATTCTTCAAACTACGAATGTATGTTTGGAGAATTGGGAAAACAATTTATAACAAATAAGGTTTTTAATATGGCTCTGAATGTAGAAACAATTGTATTTGTAAATAAAAAATGACACAGAGCAGGATATGTAACTTGTGTTTAGGAAAAGTGTATACTTGTATATACATATAAAATATCTGGTGGATATACAGATTTATTATTAGTGGCTAGTTTTGGAGGACAGACTTAAGCCTAATTGTGTTATGATTGTCTTTGACATCTTTAATCTTGTTTTTTTGTTTATTACTTGGTAGTACTGGAGTTCGAACTCAAGGCCTTATGCTTGCTAGGCAAGCGCTCTACCACTGAAGTTCTTTAGTTATTTTTTAAGTAGGGTCTCGTGTTTTTGCTCCAGTTGGCACTGAGACTACAGTCATCCTATGTGTGGCCTCCCTCACAACTAGGAACACATAAGTGCTCCACTTCACCTAACATTGATTAAGGTGGGATCTTGGTACTGTCTGCCTGTTCTCACCTATGATCCTCCACATCTGGAGTAGCTGGGATGACGGACACCAGCCACCATACCCAACATTTAAAATTTTTTTTTTTTATGAGATGATCTTACAATACCACCTATTCAAGGAAAATCAAGAGCCATGTACTTTAAAAAGTTGTATGTGATCACTAAACTATATTTTGACCCTAGGTTGGGTATCTTAAGTTCATTTAATTGAAATTTTGCTCAATTAAAGAATGTCTCAAATTGGACTCATCATGAGAAGCTTTAATGATTTTCTTCGATTTTAGCTATTTATATAGTATCTTTCCCTTTTCCTTTCCATCCCCTGCTGCTCTTCTCCTTCCTTTTTCCCTTAGGGCAGGATTTCACTATTTAGCCAAAGCTGCCCTTGAACTTGCTGTGTAGTCAAGGCTAGCCTGAAATTTAAGATCCTCCTGTATCAGGTTTCGGGGGGGGGG